GCAAGGCTACTTACTGCCCTGCCTCCTCCTCGTTGGATCCTGAACTCCACCAGCTCATGATCACTGCAGCCAAGGCTACCCCCCACCTTCACATCTCCAACAAGGYCCTCTCTGTTTGTTAGTACGAGGTCCAGCAGCCCACCCCTCCTCGTCGGCTCCTCCACAACCTGCTTCAAAAAGTTGTCATCGACGCACTGCAGAAACCTCCAGGACCGCATGTGGCACAGGGTGCCGTCCAGATAGGTTTTGAAGACCTCCAGAGAAGGACACTCCACAGCCTCCATGGGTAGCCTCTTCCAGGGCTCACACTCACAGGAAAGAAGTTTTTCCTCACATGCAGATGAACTTCCTGTGTTTCAACTTATGCCCATTTCCCCATGTCCTGTCACTGGCCACCAATGAGAAGAGCTTGGCCCCTTCCTCCCTACATTCTCCCTTCATATACTTATACATGTTAATCAGATCACCTCTCAACCTTCTCTTCTCCAGGCAAAATAGGCCCAACTCACTCTGTTTCTCCTCATAYGAGAGATGTTCCAGCCCCTTAATCATTGTCACTCTCCGTTGGACCCTCTCTACAAGCTGMATTTTCCTCTTATCCTKGGGAGCCCAGAACTGCACACAGTACTYCAGGTGCAGCCTCACCAGAGCTGAGGAGAGGGGCAGAATCACCTCCCTTGACCTGCTGGCAACATCCTCCTGATGCAGCCAGGATCCCATTGGCCTTCTTGGCCACGAGGGCACACTGCAGACTGACTCCCAGGTCACTCTCCGTGGAGCTGCTTTCCAGCAGGTCGACCCCTAATCTGTACTAATGCCTGGGGTTATTCCTCCCCAAGTGCAGGACCCTGAACCTAATAATATAAAATATATTATATAGATATATAGATATCTGCATCTATAATATAAAATAAAATAAATTATATCTTTCTTCTCAGTGAATATTTCTTATATCTTTGAAAATCAACCAATTATACATACACTGAGAAAGTAAACATATAAACACAGCCACGAAGCTACATGGATTTATCCTTTTAAAGAGGGAGATATCTAAAAATGAATAAGTGTCTGTACTTCTCTTTTTCTGGTTTTCCAAATCAGTAGTTGCATCAGGCTCTGAAATTTCAATTAATTTATTTTTTCATCTGCATTTTCAAACACTCCATTTTTTAAATAATCTTTAACTCAACAGCTCTAACAAAGAAACTTAGAATTGTAACAATTCAAACTATTCATTATACAGCGCCATTTAAAACACATTTTCATAAAAATACATTAATACCCCTTCTCTTTGACCTGCAGTAATTATTTTCTATTAGTAGACCTTTCAAATGAGAAATTGACTCTAATGTTAAAGGCAATTTTTTTTAACACTTTTTATACTTTTAACACTTTTAACACTTATTCATGCAAGCATTCTTTATAACTAGCTTTACAAAATGCTATCACAACTGAAATGAAACATTTGCTATAAATATAAATATCATCAAATATGGTACGTTCACAACTGATTTGTTGCCTCATTAAAGACATTAAGATGAACTACTTTTAAAAATCATGTAGGGTAGTAACCCCCAATATGCAAGCAAACTGATGAAAGTAGTCCTTGAGAATGGCGTACCCTACGCGTAAAATATTTCCCTTTAAAAATTTTCAGAGTTTTTCTCTGTTCTCCTCATTGGTTTTAATCTTGCCATTTCTTAGATAACTAAAGTAGAAAAGGAGATTAGTTCCTGTCATATTTTAATTTACTGATGCATTTTTCCCGTTGTTTAACCTAGTAGCCCAAACATTTTGCATGCTTGTTTGCTTTTATAAAATTATTAATTTTGAATTCCATTACAGAGCAGAATTGAAATGGTTAATGGTGTGCTGATGATCCACCGTGTGAATCTTTCTGATGCTGGAATGTATCAGTGCTTAGCAGAAAATAAGTATGGTACCATTTATGCCAGTGCTGAGCTGAAGATTTTAGGTGAGTATCATCAGAAAAGAACAGAATGTTCCTATTTTTCCGCTGATAATTACACCTGCTCTTGGCATGTTATGATAAAAAAACCTCTTTGCTACTCCAAAATTAGCAAAGCAAGCAAAAGTGGGATTCCTTTTCCTTTTGTTCATTATGTGTGGCTGGTCTAGGTGAGTGCAAGTCTTTCTGTTAACTGAATGATTTATTTTATAAATTAGCATCTTAGTTGAATTTTGAAACTATTTCTAATATAAGGCCATATTAATTCAATTGCATCTAAAAATAAAAACAAGCAGAAGAAAAGAAACTTAAAGAAAGTAAATAATTTTAACATCTCCATTATAACTATATTATTTTTTTACCAGGGCCAATATTCAAAGGCAGTTAGGCATGATCTTAGCTCTACAGATTTAAAATATTCCTATTAAGTCACTAAAATTGATAGAATACTTGAAATTGCATATATGAGCCAGCGTGTCTTAGAAATGTTGGGAAAATTTCATTATTTGCAAGTCAGGGAGGGGAAAGGAGTTTTAATTGAAGGAAAACATTAAGCTTGCATAATGTCGTCCTTCTGACACTCTCTAGTGTTGATACAAAGGTAAAGGTTGTAAAACACAGCAGGGCAGCAGTGATAAATGGACCTCAGTGGGACTAAGAGAGAGACTTCCAAGAGTCTCCTGTTTAATTCAGCACAGAGAACTACTGGAATATAGTTTTCTATCAAAGTACTTCGCAGCCCATACCAGAGGTCAAATTTCCAAAGCTGCACCTGGGAATTACTCTTTCAAACTCCCAGTCAAATAAATAATAAAACTGAAGTTCCTGAAATAATACAATCCATGTCAATGGATTTGGATACAATCCGGAAATAATACAATCCAGTTTCCTAGTCAACATCAGGTTTTTGCTGTTAACTCTTTCAAATATTTCGATCTAACCACATATTACCCACACAGTCAGTGGCTGCTTTCTTTTCATCACTTTTCTTTGTCAGATGAGATTCAGTCAGMAAATATGTACTTGCTGGTTCCCATATTCTTTTGTTCTGCTTTTTCTTTACCTAACATATCAGGTGATTGCACAGTCTGTTCATTGTTTTGTGACACCGGAGATGGAACATGGCTATCATATTTTGCTTCAGTGACATCAAGATTTTGTCTTGAGACTTGTAAAATTGTACCCTTTGTTAAATTTTAGCTGTAATACTGTATTAATGAAGCAGTTGCATCTGATTTTCTGGAATATTAAAGGGAAATGAACAGAATAATTTGCCATATAAATAGCTCTGGTATGAAAATTACTTAAAATAATGGTAGGAAATTCCTACATATCTGAGATAATGGAGATGTAAGACATTCCTATATTTGTAGCTGAAATAGGGTGATGTGTTGCTTGTATGTTTCCTCTCACCAAACAAATGAAATTACCAGGGAAAAGCTGACCTTTGTCGTGAAATTATAGTAATTAAGGTCATTGTGTGATACTTTTATTTCCTTAGTTGGGCTGTTGCAATCAATGGTACTTTTGAGATGTAAGAACAAGATATGCTTACAGATACACTATTATGAAATTCACAGTTTCCAACACTGATCATTTCAGTAAAAAGGCAAAACAATCACATTTCTCTAATGCTAATATTTTTGCAAGAATTAGTTTTAGTGCATTTTGGAGAATATGTGGTATTTAAGTACTTTTTTTTTTATTTTGAACTAGTTAAAAATACCTTTTTTATTTTCAACTGGTTGACCAGCTGCTTATGAAACACAATAATCTGAAAAAAAGGTCTAGTTAAGTCAGCTGAAAGATGTAATCTCTAAAGCTGTTGGATTTCTCAGGTAATTCTATGTCAGCATGTTGATCTGAATTACATTTGATTAATTAATAGCTTGACTAAATTATAGACCTGCAACCTAGTCTTAGCTGCTTATTTCAAACATTTTATAAAGTTCTGCCTGATCTGTAGTGTAATAATTTCCAGATGAAAAATGAAAAGTAATAACTGCCTATTAGAATGTTTTGGAAAGGAAAGCTGGGACTGCACTCTGTAGAGTTTAACATATTTCTTTTTTCACAGCTTCAGCTCCTACTTTCCCATTAAATCAAATGAAGAAAACAATAATTATTACCAAGGGCCAAGAAGTTGTCATTGAGTGCAAACCACAAGCCTCTCCAAAGCCAACTATCACTTGGAAGAAAGGAGACAAAGCGCTAAGGGAGAGTAAGAGGTCAGAAGCCGGTTCGGTAAACTACATATTACTGTTTGCCTGTTTGATTCAGTGATGCGAAATGAAAATGCAGCAAGTAACAGGAACATGCATGCATATGCACAATTATTTTGTCACATTGTCACATAGTCTCACAATAGTGACTTTCTCTTTTCCACAATATGTAAAAAAAAAAAACACAAAATTTTTCACAGATTAGGACTGATAAAATTGTTTTTCTTTGTKTTTTTTTTTCTGTTTCCTGTTACTTGTTTCCAAAGTGTTTCCATAGTTATGTTGTGTAGATACTATGCATTGTGTATATCACATCATTAAAAGTATAGAGTTTAAGTATTAAGGGTCACATGAACATATTACATATTATTATTTATTTGAAATACTTTTAATAAGGCAAATCTGCAGCATGATCTCTATATGTCAGGATCACAGTTCTAAGAATAGGTTTAAAATGATTTGGAGAAGAAACTTAGGATTTCATTATAAGATTTAATTATACAAGTAATTTCTGTATTCAGCAGCACATCTGTTTAACAGACTACATTTGATTAAATAAGCTCTGTCCAGCTCTGTATGTTAAACACAGTTTAAGCACTGTAGCTTAAATGCCACAGTAATTGCACTTTACAAGATAGCATGTGAGTACACTAGAGCAGTTTTGCCAGTCTCGACATGGTCTTTAAGTATACCCAGCAATCTTGTATTCTTTCTAGTAATGTATGTGAATGTACCACTTAAAATGACTTGTATTAGTCAAAAAGATAAAAGCAAGGCCTTTTTGTTCATTTGTGCAATACTGATGCACAATGCATTTGTTCTCTTTAGCTGCAAAAGCCATTTTGTTCTGGTGAGTTTTATTTTTATCTCGTGTCATCTGATTTGTTCTGAAAAGGTAACTTTCAGGCCATAATGGCTTTTGACGAGGCATTATGCAAACTATTTTACTAATAGGTAAGAATTATATAATATATGTTGACAGTACATAATAGAATAATATCACAAGGATGTAAATAAATATAAAATATTCTGAGACTGTTCTTTCTATGCTACAGCTGTACAGTTAATTTTTCTGAATTCACTTCATGACCTGTTCCTCTTATCTGCTCACTATAGTGTCTCTGATCACATGTGTGAACCTMCATTTTACTTTAAGACCTGTAAAATGAGCATATGAGCATATTGAGCAATTACCTGATGACTACCCAAACACAACACAAGTTAAAGTTAAAAATCTCGTAAAATTAAGATCCAGATAAACATTTTGGCATTTGAAGCTTTTGGCGCTTGCCTCTTTTGACAGAGCCTGGAAGAGTAAATGAAGGAACACAGAAAGTAAAAAGGCATTTTTGGACTATTTCAGATATTTAAATGAGTTGTTTGTGTTCAAATTAACTTTGCTGTTCAGGGAGGCACCTTTGTTATTCAGAGAAATTCCCCTACAACTATTTTTATACATGAGTGAAATATCTGTTTCAAGATAACTCAGTTGTCATTGTGCATATAGTATTTCTTAAACAATAGTAGCAGAGTATATGAGCAAGAGGAAATGAGCAAGCCTAACGTGTTATTTTGGGAAAGGAAGTGTAACTGAATGAATTTGGGCACTTTGAGGAAGAAGAATTAGAAGACAACTATCTAGTATAAATAAAAGAATCCTATCTAGGACAAAAAAAAGAATAATTTGTTGTATTTTAATGAATGTGTTTCTATTTACCTTAAAAATGGGCTTTCTTCATAGCCTGCTGGTATAAAAAAAAAAACAAATTACAATTAAAATGCTTAGGAAGTGTCATGTGATGATTTTATACATAATAGTCAACCACCTAGAATTAAAAAAAAAAAAGAACTAATTAAATAAGTGAAGGTAGAGATAGCGACGTACAAGATATTTTTTTGTTTCTGGCACAGCTTATTCCTCTTCTACAGAGTGGCTGAACCAAGGGCTCATCCTGTTTTATTTCTGTCAAGTATGGCAGCCTGTCAAAGATATTTACTCCATTAAATCACCTCTGTTGGGAAAGTCTCAATCAACAAGAGATCTTCCTCTCTCTAGGAAAGGGATTGATTAGTATCTATGAGCATCCTTTCTCCCTCTTCCAAGATGTTTTACATCCTTATGTTCTAATGCACATTGACAGAAATACCTGAGGGAACATTTCAGTCTGTAACTGAGCAAAGGCTGAGCTTGTTCCTTCTCATGGTGGGCTACAGATACCACTGCAGTAAGAACCTGGAATGCTGTTCCTGGAATTTAATGTAGATCAGAATGTAGTCTGAAAGCCTCAAAGATTCTATTGAAATGGCTTGACAAAATAACTGGGAAGAGAGTCGACATACATTTCATCTCTTGGCCTGATTTTTTTCCCCATGAACAAATGATCTAACTCCATTTCTGTCCTTGGTGAGCAGTCATTATCATGAGTAGTCAGTTTATTTGACCCTGCTTGGAAAGAATATGAATATTATAATAGATTTTTTAATTTGTGTGCTGCATGATTGGCRTTTTGATAGAATATAACAGAAAAGTATCTTCTTATTTGCTGATAAAAGATATCTTTCCTTTGTATCACTGTTACAATCTCCTAAATGTTTTCATTTAATGAAATTACTCATACAGAAAAATACATACTTAATAAAGAGTACAGTATTCACAACTATTCTACTAATCTGATTTTCAAAGACCAAAATCTTCTGCAACAGCTATGTTTCAATGAAACGAAAGATTATGATGCAGGGGATCCAGKATGCAGGAGATAAAAATTCCAAAGAATCAGGTATAACCTGTGAAACATACAGATATTAAAAGCATTAAAAGATGGCAATAATCATGGTAAAAGAACCACATGTAAAACGCTAACTCTTTGACTTTTTGATTTGTCACTGTCTCAGTGAGGCCTTTATTTTTTATTTTTAAATTGGAACATACCTGAGCACAATTTTATAACAACAGTGRGAGTTTTGTAGGTAGAAATGCATTTAAACTCCATATTTTCTTTAGTCAGCTGATAATAAGTAAAATTATTACTATCCTTACCTCTCCTCTTTTATGACTCTGTGTTGATTATGGTAGCCTGTGAAAATGTGTCTTCTGGTTATTGATGAAGTTAAGCTTTTTCAGTTCATAAGAATTTTGTTAAGAACTTCTGAATCTTTCAACTCACAAGAAGTTTGGGGTTTATACTGGAATGAATTGAGTGTTTGGATCCAAGTCTGAAAAATTAATTCAGTCCTTACTTTTGAATAAAATATTTATTTGAAACATGATTTGGTTTCTAAATAGGAAGAATCAGCCCTTATGCAAGACTCAAGGGTTTTTCAAAATCAGCATGCTTGTGGAGTTTCTGAAGCATTTCAATTAGATACTTCCTAATCTGTAATCAAACTCTCATTCATTACTTTAGCATCAGGTTATAAATGAGAATCAGGTGACTGATCAGAAAGCTAGTTAAGCTTTCTGTGTTACTGTGAACAAAAAGGCTTAGGCTTAGCTTGTAAAGCTATAAGAAAGCAGCAAAAATCATATTTAATCAGACTTTTTATGTAACTTTATAATACACAGTAGAATAGACTGGAATCTGCTATCAGTGACATTGGTATAAATCATGGATAACGCTAATAGTCTATGATCAGATTCTGGAGAAATTATTTTTATAAATTCTTTTAATGCCCGTGTTCAGGCTTCTTTAAACTTAAAGTGTTTTCCAATGATTTACTACTCTACAAATTTTAGTAAGCCATTGCTCCATGTGTTTCATCACTTTCCTAAGGTCACTTACTTTCTTCCCTAGATTTATTCTTGTATCAGTGACAATATCTGATGTTTAAATAGATATACTTGGGAAGCCATAGGTATTAAAAATCGTCATAGTTCTTTGTTCATCTGTTTTCAGTCCTTCTCCCATATCCAACATATTTTTTTTCCTTAAACTTATATCATATCTTCACTATATCTCATTATTTCCATTATAGATGCATTAATAAACTCACTCAGAAGCACTCTACCCACACAAAGAATTCTCTTCAGTCTCTCTTATTACTGATCCATTCAGATCACTAAAAATAAATTTAACCAACAAATAGGTAACAGAAAATGCAGGATTTTTATGGGGAAAATTTAGTCCTGCTTTATTACGGCTTTATTTCTCTCAATAGAATCACRTAATGGTTAAGATTGGAAGGGACCTCTACATCTAGTCCAAACCCCCTGTACACGCAGGGAGACCTAGAGCACAGGGCACAGGGTGGCAGCCAGGCGAGTTTGGAAGATCTCCRGAGAAGGAAATTCCACAACCTCTCTTGGCAACCTGTTCCAGTGCTCTGTCACCCTCACTATTAAGAAATWTTTCCTTAAGTTCCTGTGGAACTTCAGTTTGTGGCTGTTTCCTCTAATCCTATTAGTGGCCACCACTGAAAAGAGGCCAGCTCCATCCTTCTCACTCTCTCCCTTGAGTCATGACAGTACAAGCTGTGCAGAAAACATCTCCAACATAAAACAATCTCTGAAGGTTAGATTCACAATATATCATCATGAGCAACAGTGTCAGTCTCTCTGTGTCCATTGTATAACTGCTCATATTCATCCACAAGGAAATTAAATGTTAAMGAAAAGCTCCAGCATCAGAACTTCAGTTCAGCAGCCCTTCCTACTGAACAATTGGCTGGAACACAGTGTTTTTAACATCCCCATTCTTTCAGTAATCACTGTATCAGTAGTCACTTTGACTTGATTGCAAGTGATTAAAACCTTTTTTATGAACAATGTCATAAAATCAGAGACCCACAAAATGGACCTCTGGAGATGGTGTACTCCAACCCTCCACTCAAATAAGGTTCATTTGGAGGAGGTTGCTCACTAAGCTAACTTTCAGTTACTTACAAATTTACAGGTAAGTAAGCAGGAAGAAAATTTGAGAATGGAAACTGAAAGTGTGACAAGAAGTCATAACTTGGGAAAATCCTTACTTTCTTTGTGCTGTAGTGAAGGAGTAAAAGAAGAGGAAGCT